CATTCAATCTACGACTTTTAACAATTTTACCACAAACAATTTTTTCTATCCACTTACAAAATCACCAGTTGCCCCTGTAGAACCGATCGATTCCATCCACATCATCACATACATGCCGCAATCATATCTGTTACAAAATTTGAAAACCACACATGTCAATTATGATGAATACTGCATAAATTAAGCTTTCTATTTGTGATAACATCTCATACCCATTCAATTGCTTATTCTTCTTATGCTCCACAAATTTGAAGTTTTTCAAGGGATACTTTCCTAGAGATCCACATGACTCAACCCAAATGCGTTTCTTATTATAAGAATCTAATATTTTAATCTGCATTAAAATAGAAGAAGTTATGCACCAAAAAATTATGCATTATAATTTACATAATGTCCTTTCATACATACATACATACCAATCTCTTAGCATCCTTCACTCTCTGTTTAGCTGCTTCAGTTGTAAACATACTATCATATATTGTTACAACATGATCTACCATATCCAACACCAACAGATACCAGTGTGAATTATGGTAGTTTATTGTGATCATTATCTGCAACAAATTTCACACCCAATTTGACAAAATTCAACATTCTATATCCGAAAACATCATTTGCAATTGGTATGGTGTCTTACCTTCTCACAGTCCGTGAATTTCACATAGTTATCCAATATGACACCCCAGAAGGTAGAAATATTCTCAACACTTTCTTTATTGTTGGCTTCCAACGCCTGTTGCTGTAATTACGCAACAAACATTATTAATTTACCGTCTATAACACTACTTTTCAATATTTATTAATTTAACTCACCACTAAGAGGTATGGAAGGTAGCCAATCCTCCGGTGTGACTTTTGAGAATCGTAGCATATGGTCCAGGCGAGCAAATCGATAACCTAACAAAATTAATTACACAATCAGAACATATTCAATAAGTTTTATTTATTTTCTACTTTCTACTTACCACACCGCCAACCCATTCTGTAGGCTTCAACGTTGCAACGTCGTATACAGTAGCGAATTGATTTCCCATTGATATTACAGAATATCTGTATGAATCATTAGGATTAATATCTTGTCATGAAATATTTAAATATCACTCACAAAACAATATATTTCACTTACCCCGATTCTAACTCGCTATTCCATAAATAATCACAAATTGCAGCTTCGATGTCATCAATTCCAGTTGGAATGTCCGCTTTTTCAACCTACAATTTTGCATACAAATTTTTGTCACAACAACATAATAAAAATCAAATTAAGTATTCTTTTATTAAACTTACCTTCTGCTTCTTCTTCTGGGGTGCAGGACATTCCGAATCCAAAACTGCTGCTATGACACTCTCCGGTGTATAAAGCACATTGGGCCTCTCCTTCCTCCTCATTTCTTCCATCTCTTCTTCTTCCTCCTCCCTCTTTTCTTCTTCATATTTTTTCAGTTCATCGTACTTTTTTTCTACATAGCTCTTCATATCTTTTATTTCACCCTTCAATTGAGCTCCTTCATCCGAGTATTTATCAACCACCCCCTTCACCCCCGTAAGTTCACTCCTCAAATCAACAACCTCCTTCACCACTCCCTCAAATTTCTCTCCCGTCACCATCTTAATATCACCCCTTAACACCGAAACTTCTTTCACCACTTCACCCCTCAACACCTCTACTTCTTTCACCACTCCATCTATTTTTCCTTCCACTACCCCCTTATGCCTCTCGAGTTTCTCTACGACTTGATCAAGTTTCTCTTCGACTCTTGATTGTCTTTGCATGATTTCAAATTGGATTTTTTTGATATCAGCCAATTCAGACATCAAAATGTCGAAGTTACTCTGTTTTGCTTCACCGTCGTCCCACTCACCTTCATCCCCCAATACTTCTTCCCTCAATACAACCATCCCTCCTTTCTTCTCCTCTGCCTCCACTGCCTCCTCTACATCCTTGCCAATAACCTTCAAAAAATTAAATTACAATATTAAGACATTGATTATATTCTTAATATTATTTAATTACATTTATTACCATTTCTTGCTTCTTCCCTCTATCCAACTTCAACTTCACCATCACTCTAACCACCTCTTCCTTCCCCCATGCACGGATGCGTGCCACTCCGGTTCTTTCATAAGCCGGCACTGCCTCACAGCCCGACCAAAAATCGAACAGTGCAACCTGCATTTATAATAAAATTAGAATTTTTATATAAAAACACAAAAAAGTGATTCAACTCATTTACCTCTAAGATTGCTATGCACCCTTTGAGGTATCTCTGGCTGCCCTTTTTAAAGGTGATAATTGATTCAATCAATCTCGAATGGATATATTCAGCCCAATTGAATTCACCCTTCAAGCCTTCATCGCAAATGAGCTTCATATATTCCTTGTTCGTTGACGTATCACCCGTTGGACAAAGAAATATACCGACAAGGTACAATAGAACTCGGGCCTTCAGCTCATCCCCCAAGTAAGATCCACTTTTGATATCCTCTTCAACTTCAGTATATGTCACCTTATGATTCAAACCATATTTGGAGGCAAGTGCTTTCCAGTTCTTACTCCTACAGACTTCTATAACACTTTTGCCTTTGTTTTGTACCCCCAATACGGCTGCAGCAGTCGATACCCCCAGAGGGAATGAATAATCACCATACTTAGCCATACATTGACTGACGTCAAATTGTGCCATCAAGGATCGACACAATTCCCTCCGAATAGGTCGATCCCTTACTCCGATCAACGATCCAAAACCTATTTCTCCCAGCACATTCAACTGACCCTTCTCCTTAAGGTGTTTAATTAATAAATTCACCCTTTTAATGCTGCATCTTGTCGAAACTTCCTACATTTTTTAACAATATATAATGTTATAGTTCTTATATATTTTGTATCAACGTATTTACAAGTTTAATGAATACCTTATTTTCATGTGCTTTCCTCCGTTCTTTGTATTCTTTACTATCATTCCTTGACTGTGTGATGTAAGGTTCCTTTTCAGCATCACTCATTGAATTCCATTTGGACCTCACATCTTTTTTCACCTAATATTAAACATAAACGTTTCTTAATCAATACATTAACACTAAATACTAATACTACTCAATGTCAATTTCATTTTACATACCGAACCGCTCTGTGTGCCATCTCCCTTCATCCTTTTGCATTCGGCCATACTGTTAACATTTAAAATTTGTAATCAATTTAAAGTTTATCGATACTTTAATCCAATTACCATTTCAACAATAATAACAAAAAGACATTGATACTTACTAGAAGTACATATATCCACCCTTTGGTTGCTTTCGAGTCTCGGCCTCAATTTCAAAGTCATCTGCTCCACCAACAATTTTCCAACCCATTGACTCCATTTTTCCTTCATATATCAGTTTACGCAAATCAAATTATTTTGTTACATACACTTTTCAATATACAAATATAGATAACTACTCTTGTGGTAAAACGGTTTTCTTCAAAAGAATTTGAATGGCCACACCAAAATGTGTCGGCACATTTATACAACCTATAATATCATTTTCTACCTATAATATTTAATAAAAGTATCGACATTTATCGTTTTCCTTGAATATCTATTTCTACCTGCAATCGGTCCCAAATGCTTCCTTACTCCAAAACCCCAAACAACACATAAAAAACCCTATCGCGATTACTGTAATAATAAAAATTAGGGTTTCGACAACATACTTTTCGATTCGACTGCAGCAACAAACAAACAAACTTCGCTTTAGAAACGCCTTCTGAAATGCAGCAACAATTACTCTTCGATTTCAAAAACTCGTCCGTTCTATCTATTTTCAGAGGATATTTAGCTTATATTTTCATCGGATATGTTATTTATATTTAATCGATACAAATACAAAAGTGTCGATACTTTTATGTCAGGTGTCGATACTTTCGAAAGGATAATTACCTATTTCTTTGAAAGTGTCGATAATTTATTACACGTACTTACGAAAGTATCGACACTTTCAATATATCCGGTATCATTTTACCGTTTTTATCATTTTGATACCGGTTTTATCATATTTTTACCTGTTATATCGTTGTGGATCGATATTTTTTTTAAAGTATCGACACATTATAGGCGCTATAACTGCTTCTCTTTTAAATTCACAAAGTGTCGATCCTTATATAACGTATCGACACTTTTAATTTTACCGGTTTTATCATTTTGTTACCGGTTTTATCATAATTTTACCTGGTATATCGTTTTGGATCGATATATTTCTTAAAAGTATCGACACTTTTTAGGATTTAAAACTGCTTTTAAAGTTATGTAATTTATGTTTCAATTTATTTAATAGTGTTTTATGTTTTCCACCTACAATATTAATTTAATAATTTAATTTACACAAAATTTTATTTGATTGTTTTGATATTTTATAAAATATTATTTAGAATTTAAATTTAACAATATTAACCAAATATAATAATAAATATGTTTTCAACAGTGAAATAAGTATGGACACTTTTATAAAAATGATATATACTTTTTTGAAAGTTATGTAATTTATGTTTCAATTTTTTTTAATAGTGTTTCATGTTTTCCACCTACAATATTAATTTAATAATTTCATTTACACAAAAAATTATTTGATTGTTTTGATATTTTATAAAATATTATTTAGATTTTAAATTTAACAATATTAACTAAAGATAATAATAAATATATTTTCACAGTGAAATAAGTATGGACACTTTTATAAAAAGGATAGATAATTTACAATATAACATTTAAAAATATGACAAAACCAGATTCATTATGACAAAACCGGTAAAATTTACTTGATATGTTAAAAGTATGGACACTTTTATAAAAAGGATAGATACTTACCGATAACCAAAGTTTACCGGTTACCAAATTTTTTAATAGTTTTTCATATTTTCTACCTAAAACATTATTAGTTGTCAACATAATAGGTACCGCTAAACCGAATTTATTAAATACATTTTAATGTATCCGGTAATGCTGTATATTAGCCGTATATTAGCTGTGATTCCTCTTTAGGAGGGAGTCTTCTGCCTCCCTCTCAAACTCCTCTCGCAGTCGTGCTTCTTCAGCTGCCTGCAATAGGAAAGTTCACAAGAACAAAATTACTACTGAACTGAGGGAGAATATGAAATACCAATACCTAAATATCTCGATGGTCTAACATTTTATCCAGGATGCAGATTGCCTTCATAGTGAGCACAAATATATATACCCAACAAAAAAAGATAGATAACATACCGCCTCTGCAGCATCTTTAGCTGCTCTAAAACGCCAAGATCTCTGTTGATTCATTTTCGCCCGAGGGGCAACTCCATCTAGCATATGTTTCCAGATAAACATAAATACAATTTATCTGCACGTCAAAATACATCTTACAACCTAAAACAAGCACTACTTACCAATAGCCATATACAAAAGCTTTCGAGGACGGACCATAACAAACAATCTATCAATGTAATCAAATATGCATTGAAAAACTTCATCAAAAGTGGTTGGTGAAGGTTGCACAAGACATCGAATAAGCCAAATTAGTTCAGTTCTGAAAAGGTCAAAGAAATAAAAGAGATAGGAATTACGAAAATTTGAATGTGTTGAGAAGGTTACCCTGTCTTCGGGGTGGAAACAAGGATGAATAATCCCGTTCATGTCGAGATAAAGATTATCGTACTCGAGTTTATTTGGATTAGGTTTACTCGTATCAACAGGAATGGCTATGCCGTCGATAACCACCGGTTCTTCTTCGATAACGTCCACCACAATCAGCGGATACTTCTCCGCTAACCATCTGTAGAACGCTGGCACTCCCATTGCCAATAGCTTGCAACTGAAACCCCTCGCGGATCTCTAATAAAATCGAACACCAAAGGAATAATCCTTATCCCCTGCAATGGAGACAAATTGGAAAGAAAAATGATTGCGATCGTCCCGTGTTCTTGTTTATCTCCTGCTATTGTGTGTTTGGCCAACCGTTGCGTTTAGGGCACCAAAATAATGCGACGGGACAATAATACCCTTTAAGACTAGGGAAAGACGGCTGGTCTTAAAGGTACGTTTGGTTCACGGAATATAAGATTACCAGTGGGAATAAGATTACCGGAATGTAACATTACCTAATACATTACTGGGAATATTACATTACTTTGTTTGGTTTGTTTGGCAGTAATGTAAGATTAGAGTGTTTGGTTGAAGGAATAAAAGATTACTGGAATGTATATTTTACCAAATTAACCTTGTTTTATATTTTTTAACAAGTGAAATTCTAATTATTTAAATAAAAATTATTTATATAAAAATTCATCGATAATATATTTAAATAAAAATTATTTATATGAAAATTTATCGATAATATATCATTTTATTATTTAAATATATCATGTATTATTTTAATTTTAATTAATATTAAATTTATCTAATTTATTTAAGAATATATTAAAATTTTAATTCAACATAATTTATATAAAAATATTAGATGTAAACTTTTGTTTAAATCTTAACTAATTTTTACTTTTTTATCATTTTGAATAATTTTAATATTTATAACGTTTATTTATAAAAAAGAATTCTTCAAAATTCAAATATCAAATTAAATACTATATCAAGTATTAACAGTAAAACTAGAAGCAAAGAACATCGAGAAAGCTCAATCCCAAAGTAGAACAATGACAGCATAAAGCAATATCCATGTTTTTCTTAAACAAAATTATTTCTAATTTCCAACAGAAATTACAATCAGAGACCTTCCAAATAGACAAAAACAACTAGTTTTGACGGGATTAAATCCAAATTATATTTTAATTCATTCTCCTAATTACTCATTGATGTAATTCTCACGGTTGCCGGTATCTCCTCCTTCGACATAGTGGTTCCTCTTCTTTTTCAGACCACCCAATGGTGCCTTGAGCTGGAATGGACAGAGGAAGTTGTTGGCCTCCTCAAAAAAGGTCCCACAATCATTATCTCGTGGATGAGATCTTCTACACAGATGATGCCAAATTTGCCCAGAGCTTGATGACCAAATTTCTATTTCAAGCATCAAGAATTCAAGCATGTAAAGAAAAAAAGCGAAGGCATAACTCATGCTTGAATAACATCAAAGATAAAGGAGAAGCTTAGTGATTTATCATGCATATTCCACAAATAATGCATTGTAGCATGTTGTGCCCAGTTGATTTTGAAAATATTATGCAACTTCGGGACAAGATACTTAACTGCTTCAAACAAATCAAAGTCCAATACTCCCAGAATGAAATCAATAATCCAAGGCTAGATCAAACGCTGCCAATAAAAAAGCAACAGAGATGAGAGAAAATATTGCAGAAAAGGTACTAGCTAAAATTCAACAGAAATGAAGAGCCAAAAGTTCTTGAAATGAACAAATACAAGCAAATCTTTCAACTAAGTGAAACAAATTGATTGCAACTTAGATGCCAAAGGACACACATCTATGACATAAAATTCTCTTCAACAACATCATGCATGATGTTTCTGTACCGTTTATTAAAAATACTCGAAATCGATTATGTCCCGTTGATCAAAATTCAACAGCAATGAAGAGCCAAAAGTTCTTGAAATGAACAAGATACAGGAAAATCTTTCAGTTAAGTGAAACAAAGTGATTGCAACTTAGATGCCAAAGGACACACTAGAGGAGACATATATCTATAATATAAAATTCTCTTCAACAACATCATGCATGATGTTTTTGTGCCGTTTATTAAAAATACTTGAAACCGATTCTCTTAGAAGATCTATAATATGAGGAATTCAGATTGGATCTGATCATTGTGTTGCAATGATCTTTTGTGGTGGACCCATAAAATTCCAAGTGTTCCCCTAGTGGGGTGATGCCAGTTGTTGGCACTTATCAACCGATGATGGCACTAGCTAAAATTCAACAGCAATGAAGAGCCAAAATTCTTGTACACCGGCTCAAGGATGGATTGAGGAAGCGGTTGGTGTAGTTGTCTCTTTAAAATTTTATATTATTATATATTTTAGATTTTTATTTGTATTTTATATTAATAATATGTATTCATCTCCCTTAAATTTTATAATTTAATCCCTATTTCGGCTGACAACTCAGTGTTAATCGGCACACTGCTTACAAACTGGAATGAAAATAATAGTTTTAGGGGCACAGTTGGAGCTAGCTTACTTGATTAATTGCCTCATCTAAGGCTTCACCAAAATGGAAAATATGACCATATTAGTTCGAGTTTTGAGTGTTCCAAGGACCCAATAAATAGCAAGGTTTTGCATATGAAAATTGAAAAGTTAACTTTTAGCAGAAGAAGGGCGGGTGATTTTGAAGAGTGATGATGATGGGAAATAAGGCTAAGCTAGAGTGGTCTCCACAAGGTCACTCTCTCTCTATCCATGATACAGACGGGAGAAAAGGACCTTCTTTATGGCATTTGGAGAAAGAAAAAAAATGGCTCAAGAGATAGTGGATGAACACAATTCCAGAACAGGATAAATAACCATAATTTCCACAAACAAATCTCAAAGACAAATTAATGAAGTAAACTCTTCCAGAACAGGATAAATAGCCATAATTTCTACAAACAAATCTCAAAGACAAATTAATGAAGTGAACTCTTATGTCAAACACAAGAAAAAAGAATTGCTTATAATAATAAACACACCAAATAAAAGATCCCAATACCCATACATAAAAGCTTAAATCAGAAGCACAAGATGACCTAATCAAAATTCATCTACCAGCAAGACTAGCAGCTCAATAAAACATGATCATACTGAGATCATTCAAGAACAAAAACATAATTACATAGATATGCAGGTCAAACTATATTTCCAAGGCAAAAAAAAAAAGAGAGAGAAAGCTGACCAGATTATGTGAGAAACTCAGAGAATAAAACTCAGAAAAGATCACTGAAAATTCAGAGGAAAATTCTTTACAATAAATGAAACTCATCACACACTTATTGAAACGAAAGAAAACCTATTAAGTCGAAGCATCCATGGATATAAAGACAAAGAAGGAAACCTTTCAGTAGACGGATCCTTAAATTTGGTCTTAAATGCATAACTTAAGTTTGTTTCACCACCAAACATAAAAGATAAAATAAATTATAGCAGAAATTTCATAAAATAGTTAAAAAAAAGTACCCATCAAAACCATCAATTATAACTAAGTTCAAGCCAATAACAACATGTTACAAGCAAGCCCAGACCAACAAATCAACTAAGGATGGAGATAAACAAGTAAAAAGAAAAACCCAGAGAGCAAACAATTGATCATCAATAAGGGAGAAAACCTAAGAACAAAATTGAATGATAATCAGAAATGAACAGATATTGGGGAAGATGACTTGACCTGTAAAGGCTAGAGAGATGCAGAAGGAATTATCAGAAAGAACAATTAAGAAGAGACAGAGAGAAAGCTCAAAGTCCATGGAAGAAGGTGAGAGCATTATGCTTCTTTATTTATGTGTTAGTTGTAGGTTGTTGCCCAAAACTTACTCGTCAAATCATGATTTTTTGGTTAATTCATTTCTGTTTTCATTAATACAAAGGAAATTGAAGAACGATTACCTTTTTCCTTAAAATTTCCAAGTATGAAATAGAGAAGAAACATCAAAGAAATTGAAGATTAAACAAAGAAAAGTAGATATGTAAACTCACATACTTGCTTATCGCTTTAAGCTTTTCAAGGGAGCAGCGACGGAAGGCAGACGTAAATCACGCACGGCAAAAATTTCACAGAATCATCCGAAACGAAGGGAGAAGGCTATTTAGACAAGAGGACATGAATAATGAAATACCTAAGGGAGATGGAGGATAGATATTCCCGGGAAAACAATAAAAATATTTACTGTTGGTATTACTTTTTAACCGGCAATTGGTAATGTGTCCCCATCCAAACGTGGGTATATTCACCTGGGAAAAAATATTCCTCCCAGGAATGAATTATACCCTGAACCAAACGGGGCCTAAGGGTGCGTTTGGTTCATTGAATGTAAGATATCAGTGGGAATAAAAGATTATCAGGGAATAGGATTACTGTGAATGTTGTATTTGTGTTTGGTTAGTTTAGCAGGAATGTAAGATTATCGTGTTTGGTTAAAGGAATAAAAGATTATTGGAATGTATATTTGACCAAATTATTCTTATTATATATTTTGTTTTTTAACAAGTTGAAAATATTTATATTTTCTTTAAAAAAATTTAAATTCATGAAATTTATATAATTTTTTTTACAAAATTGAAAATATAAAAAGGTTTAATGAAAGGGTTAAATTTTATTTAACCCCTTAACTTTATATAAAATTTTAATTATATATTTTTTTTGTAAATCTAAAATAGTTTAAGGATAAATTTGTAATTTAACCTTCGTAGAATTTTTATTATTCAATGACAGAATAAGAATATTTTTGAAAGAAATTTTTTTAAGAGTATTTAGTCCAAAACGCCGGTAATCTAACAATACCTAAGGAAAGGGAGGTAATGACATTCCCGGTAATATACCCTAAAAAATCCACTATTGGTAATATAAGATTACCGGGAATGACATTCCCGGCCAACCAAACGGGGGAATGTGGATTCCATTTCCATTGGAATCTCACATTCCCCCAACCAAACACACCATAAATGATAGAAGGCGTTTGTAAAAATTCGAGTTAGTTGAGTAGGTAAATATTATTTTATATTTTAATTATTTTAATTTGGTTTATTAAATTTTAAATTGAATTAAATATATGTACTAACTTTTTATTTGAATTAATTATAATTATTTAATATGTTATGATATTAATTTAGATGAACTGTTAGAACTGCATGAAGAGGTGAGATAAATCGTTTGTAATGAAGAATTAATATAGACACCAACTGTTTTTTCCTTGTAAACAAAAAAAATTTATTAAATATCATCTAAAGTAAAATCCTACAATACATGTCATGTACCTAAA